TCCATTGTTCACAACATCCAGTCCATTGTTCCCATGTTGAAGCAGAACCAGACGGTTTGCCTTGGTATTTTGATATAAAGAAGTATTTGGAGTCTGGAGCTTATCCCAAAGATGCTACGTCCAATCAGAAGAAGTCGATACGCCATATGGCTCTCAATTTCTTGCTATGTGGAGAAGTCCTTTATAGGAGGACTCCAGACGGGTCTTCTAAGATTCTTGATGTTGTCGAAGCTGCGACACTTATTGAATAGAGACATGCCAGAGTTTGTGGCACACATATGAATGGGCTCACTTTGGCAAGAAATATTCTTCGAGCCGGTTACTTCTGGATGACTATAGAGAATGATTGTTGCAAGTTTGTGCAAAAATGCCACAATGTCAAGTGCACGGTGATTTGATTAGAGTGCTACCTCACGAACTTAATGCTATGAGTTCACCTTGGCCATTCATAGCTTGGGGAATCGACGTCATCGGTCTTAACACTTCTAATTGACACATATTTATTTTTGTTGCCATTGATTTATTCACCAAGTGGGTTGAAGCAACTTCATAAAAGTCGGTAACCAAAAAAGTGGTGGCTGATTTTGTTCGTAGCAATCTGATATGTAGATTTGTAGTGCCAGAGTCCATCATTACTGATAATAGGGCAAATCTCAACAGTCACTTGATGAGAGATATATGTGAGCAATTTAAGATTACTCGTCGAAATTCAACTTTTTATCGTCCCCAAATGAACGGAGTTGTAGAGGACGCCAATAAGAATACCAAGAAGATTTTTCGGAAAATGATTTACAAGCATTGTGGTTGGCATGAGATGTTACCATATGCTTTATTGGGATACTTCACAACTGTCAGAACATCAATTGGAGCCACTCCATATTTGTTAGTATATGGAACAGAAGTAGTCATACCTACTAAAGTCGAAATACCGTCTTTGAGAATCATCCAAGAAGCCGAGTTAAGTAATGTTGAATGGGTCAGCAAGCGTGTTGATCAATTAATTTTGATTGATTAGAAGAGAATGGTTGCCGTCTGCCATGGTCAATTATATAGACAGAGAATGATTCGTTCCTTTCATAAGAGAGTAAGAGCCAGAAATTTTTAAGTTGACCAGTTGGTCCTTAAGCGTATTTTTCCTCATCAAGACGAGTACAAAGGAAAGTTCGCACCAAACTGGCAATGTCCTTACATGGTTCGTAAAGTATTATCTGGAGGTGCTTTGGTCTTGGCGGAGATGGGTAGTACCGTGTGGCCTAAACCTATCAACTCAGACGCTATCAAGAGATACTACGTGTGAAGCTGCGGTTTGCATTTCAGTTATTTACTTGTAATCATTCTGTTTGCTTATATTTGTTTTGCTTATATTCTTATCCCTCCTGTAACGAACTACGTCTGACCTGAATTCTCAAGAATGAGATACGTAGGTGGCCTATGTCGTCCTGGGTCACCCCATTTACCCCTTTTTATATTTCCTTGTAATGAACTACGTCTGACCTGAATTCTCAAGAATGAAATACTTAGGCGGCCTATGTCGGCCTCGGTCACCCCATTTATCCCTTTTTATATTTTCTTGTAATGAACTACGTCTGACCTGAATTCTCAAGAGTGAGATACGTAGGCGGCCTATGTCGGCCTCGATCACCCCATTTACCCCTTTTTATATTTCCTTGTATTTGAACTATGTTTGACCTGAATTCTCAAGAATGAGATACATAGGCGGCTTGTGTCGGCCTTGCTCGGTTTCTTTGTAATTTTTTTATTTTGTCAACCTTTGAATGGGGAACTACGTTTGACCTGATTCCTGCCATAAAGGAATACGTAGGCACCACAAGGGTCGATCATATCTCCCATAAGATTTCTATTCCTCATTACAATAGAAACAGGGACAAAATTTTTGAGAGGGGATAAAAAATTCTTGAGAAGGAGATTCTTCCTCAGCAAGTTTAGACTGAAGATATTTCAAGATTTGCCGTTGGGACAAATTTTTTGAGAAGATCTCATAAATTCCGCAATCTAGTCAGTTACAATGGAAAGATAAGAAAGACAGTTAACTGGACAGAAATTTTGAGGATGGACTCAAAATTTCAGCATGAATTTTATCCGCAAATCCGAAGCGACTCTAAAATCTCCCCGCGAATAATCTGATGGACCTCCAAGCATCAGACTCAAAGAATTTTGTTAAGCCTGATATGACATGACTTGGAAGAGACCTTTTTTAGATATATTTTCTCAAAATTGTTCCTCTTAAATTTTCCTTTTATGTTTCATTTGTTTTGACATAAAATATTTTGTCTTATCTATCAAGATTCGGGAAATCAACCGAAGATAGCAAGACAAAGAGCAAATAACTAAAGTAATCGACACAGATCAGTTCGTTTTTAAAACTAATATTTTTTCTTTGGAAGCAGGTTAATATTTTTGCTATGAAATCAGCAAATTCTTCCGATGGATGAATATGGAGAAATCCAAAGAGGAGAAAACTATCCCAAAATCAATAGTTTTCCTAGAAGCAAGAAGCATTTTATATCTCTTATGTCGGAGACTAGGGAATATGAATTGTTTATTTCAATCAATTTCTAACAACATGTAATTTATAAAGAATGTCCGGCTAGATTTGAAGGAGAATCAAGCGAAAATCTCAAGAAAGAGTTTACGGTTTCCATAAAGGACGTCATTTGCATCATAATGTCGGGTATGATACTATGCATTACCCGGAGGGGTCAGTTATTTTATTATCGATCAAGTCGATATACTATTTGGAAGTCGTTTTACCGTTATCATCGCTGGAGACGATATGATATTCATGCATGTTGGAGATTCATGCATCGCGAGTCAATATTCATGCATCGCGGGAGATCATGCATTGCGAGTCAATACTCATGCAGTGTGGAAGACCATGCATCGCGAGTCAATATTCATGCACCGCGAGAAGATATTTGTGCCTCGCTGAGAGCTGTGCATCGCGAAAAGATTTCATGCCTCTCAGTAAATTATGCATTGCGAGAAGGTTTCATACCTCGCAGAAAATTATGTGTCATGAGAAGATTTCATACCTCGTAGAAAATTATGCATCATGAGAAGATTTCCTACCTCACAGAAATTATGCGTCGCGAGAAGATTTCATACCTCGCAGAAAATTATGCATCGTGATATGATTTCATACCTCACAGAAATTATGCACCGCGAGAAGATTTCATACCTCACAGAAATTAATGCATCACAGGAAGATATTCATGTCCTATAAGATATAATGCACTGCCAGAGAAGTAATTGTGCATCCGAAGAGGGATATTTATCCGTTGGCATCAACTAAATTCTTTTATTTTGATTAAAGTAAACAACATGAAGAATACATCGACATCAAGAGAAGCGTCAACAGTGGATCACTTTTCATTTATGTTGACATCAACATGAAGAGTACATTAACATCAAAAGAAATATCAGCATCGCATCAACATTTATTTATTTCGACCTCAAGTAAAGAGTACATTGCAAACACCAGATATACGCTTTATTTGATTTACGTCAAACCGATCTAGTAGACGTCAAATGTAGAGGGGAACAATTGAGTGTCGACATTGTAAAAGACAATATCTCCCATCCTAATTGTATTTTTAAGCTGACGGGTTTTTAACTCAATCTTTGTCGAGAGAATCCGAAAGGATTAATTCTCCAAAAACCATAGGTACGGACGACGTCAAAAGGGACGCAGCACAACGTGGAACTTTTTCTTAGCAGCGAACTGGGACACAGTTCAAAGAGGAATATCAAACTCTTAGGACGCGAGCGGAGAAGCGACTTCCACCACAATCAAACCACACCCCTATCATAAGGAATGTGATTTTTCTTTGGTTTTCGCCTGTTTCGGTCTCACATTTGGAAGTTTTGATTTACCGGAAATAAGTTGCCAATCCAAGTGACAGTGCTCCAAGAGTTTGAAAATTATGTCCGTGTAAGTTCTTACCTATGGATGTGAGCGCACTACATTCATGGCTAAGAGGCTATAAGCCTCCTTTTTATACTCGTTTAATTTGTCACTTATCCAAAACCAAAGGTTATCTATCATAATAGTTTTTTCTTTTCAGCCCGATCAAGTCGAACTACAAACAACCTGATTCCTAAGTTTAAGGATATGTAGGAAGACTTAATATTAAATTCGGCCGTTATTCGCTCTTAAATTCTATTCCCGAGCTTTTAGATCCTTTCATAATTCAGTATCGGTATGACTTTTGAATTCCTTCATAATCGTGCGTTAAATTAAGCGTATCGAACTACAAGTGACCTGGATTCTCATATAGCTTGAGATTTGTAGAAACCCATTTTCAAGGCTCAGCCATAATTCTTAAGGTCCATACTAAATCATTTGCCTGAGATTGATATGTGGTTGGTCAAAATTGTCTTGGTCAATTTCATTTTCCTTGATTTTCTTGCATCAATCCAAGTAAAATGAGGGACAATTGTTGACACCCAAATTTTGACCCTCCACGGTAGAAATTAATTCTGGAGCTTCTTAAATTTTCAAACAATATGAAATAATTGGTTTTATAAACTTTGAAAAAATATATATAAAGTTTGCGTTATTTTGAATATTTTAAACATTTTTTATATAGGAAATTTGTGAGATACTTAAAATAAGCTTTATAGCTTTTCATAATTTTAAGTAATACGAGTTTTTGTACGTAATTAATTTAATTTTTAAATAGACAAGCATCATCTCAGAAAATTTTACTTTTTTGTAAGTTTGATCAAAATTATAGTTATATGTTGAATCATTAGTTTATGATTAAGTTAATTATTTCATGTCATTAAGATTTAAGAAGCTCGTAAATTAGTTGTGTTATTTCGTATATTCTAAGTTCGGTTGATTAGTTTCGAATTTGCTAATTTATTATTTTTACTAAGTTTTAAAGGGCCAATTTTGGACCACTTCTTCCCAGCCCAATATTTAATTCTGCCCAATATCCCAGCATTAATCAGCCAAATAACAAAGCCCAACCCGCTTTAGGCCAACTTTTGTCTTCATCACAACCGTTTGACCTTACCCAAACACCATTCCTTCATGTTCAACTGGACGTCAAAAGGAACCCAGAATTTTTAGAGATAGCACAGCATCAGCAGCCTCAAAAGCGACTTGTTCGCGCCTCACACCAAGGTGTGAACGACGCTCCAAAGACGAAAGACGCGTCTCCTTGTTGGAAGTACGATTTTGCGTAGATTTTTCCCTCGATTCCCGTTGCTGTCCTGTCCTCCCCAGCACGCAAAATCATCCTTGCGTCTTGGGATTGAGCCGCGTGGCATAGCAAGGATGATTGAAGCATTTTGGGGCGTCGATTCTCCTAATCCTGTTCTAGAATGGGATGATTTTCGGCAAAAAGGTTGTTCATCCTAGAATGGTAAGGGTTTGGTTTTTGAAATTCGAAAGTAGTCCTTTCCCCTTACGATTCTACCATTTCCCCCCTTTTTATTGAACCCTAATTGGCTTCCTAATTAAGATTTGTTTCTTAAAATTTCAAGGGGGCAGAAAAATTTTGAGCGAAAAATTGTTAGAGATTTTGAAGTCAGAAGGTTTTTTTTTTTTGAAAATACAATCCTAATACTAGACAGATAAAAAGAGAGTTAGCCAAGGGTTCAAAGAGAGGGACATTAAGGACAAAACTTTCTTTGAAAAATTTTGGTTCAGTATTTATTCTCCTCGATTTTACCTTGTTCATTCGAGTTTGTTTCGGAATTGTTCTTCGGTTTAGAAGTTGGTCATCTCCCTACTCAGCGAGTTCTCGAAATGCTGCCCAGAAGAAGGTCATATTGGCTGGCATGATAAGGAAAGAGGTTTCGCCTATTTATATTTTGTTGTTCTCCGTCACTGGCATACGCTTATCCCTTTTGAAAATGTTTGTTCTTGAATTATCAATGGATGCATTGGGTTTATTCAAAGCCATCTGATCACAACTTGACCTTTGCTTGACTATCTCAAATAAGAATCTCAACTTTTTTTATTACGTCTTTCCATCATTTAAGGTCTCAAAATAAGTTTTAAGACTGTTTCTACTCTTCACTTCTTGCTTTGCATTGTTTGAATAAAGTGCCTTAATATGTGAGTTTAATATTTGAGACTCCTTCTTGCACATTTGAATTAAAGTTCCTGTGCTAACTCATTTCATTTTAATGTCGCATGTAAATTTGGCATCGAGTTCACCATGAACTCCCACTTCCCCTCACATTGCGTTTTCGAGAGAGACTTAAAGGCTCAAAATTCCTTTCATTCGCGTCAAGCCCACGATACTGGCGTATAGATCCAAATGTCAAGAATTGAAGATAGTCGGGAAGTTGGGCCAATAGAGGCCAATTTATTTATTTATTTATTTTTTATTGCATTGTATGTATTTGGGGGGCATAAGCCTGTAGTTGCTTTTATATTCTATGTATTTATGTTGTAGTTCTTATTGTTTAGAACTTAGGACAGGTACGAAAGGTCGAAATGGGTCAAAACCCCAAAACAGGCGGGTTCGAATTTCGGTCCAGGCAAACAGAACTCGGTTTGGACCCAACCTTCCCCCCTCTCTCTCTCTCTCTCTCTCTCTGTATTTCTCTCTTTCCATACTTCCTCGTATATTTATTTGTTGTTTGACTGACGCTAGTTTTAAGGTTAGATATTCGTAAATCCTCTCAAAGCGCCACTATGTTTTAACGGTTTAAATTAAATTGATCAATCTTAAAAGACTTAAAAAGAATGAAGTAAATTTCGCGGTTTAAATAGTATAGACCAACATTTTAATTCAAAATAAAGTTATGCAATTAAGCAGAAGTTTTAGGTGTCTAACACCTTTCTAAAATATTAATTTAAATCCCCGAACCCCTTTGCGTTTTCACACAATCTTTCGCTGTTAAGTTATTTGAAAACAATAGTTTTCTTAATTTTCCTTAAAAATTAAGTGGCGACACTTTAATGTCGAGAACTCATCAAAATCAAATATTTTCCCTTTTTTGATAAATAAGTCACATCTCCAGCCTACATCCTGGACATGAACAACACTCGAGAATCATTGTTAGTCCCTAAGAAAACCCTTGGCATGGACACATACTTAGAGGAAGACTTAAAAGTCTTAAAATGAATTTTGTACCATTTAAACTCAAAGTATATACTCAACTCAAATTGCCTGTATAATACTCAATAATATCGATATAATAGTTTGCAAAAACATCTCAAAGAAGAGACTACATACTTAAAGACTCCTTGAAATTATTTATATATGAAGCCTGTAATGTTTAAGATAGGTATTGAGAGAAGACCCACAATGCATCAAAACAACTAAACTGAAAGTAATTATGATGTCCTCCGAAATACAAGGAGGCTCACCAAAAACTAACAGGAGTGTAGATTGATCTTTAATGAAATGCTTGTTAATGATCCCGATGAACTTAAACTCATCACATAATGATGCAGGTCGAATGACATTAAAACATTTAAATGTATGAGTATGTGATATAACAAAAGTTACAATAACTAAATGAAAGAACTGCAATAGATAAAACACGAACTCAACAAAATGTAAAGGATTATAAATAATAAAATCATTTGAACGTTACAAAAACGCTTACTCATCTATGAAATTCAACATAATAAATGATATATAAATATAAACCTTAACTCTATTTTGGAGATTCTCTAACCAACAACCATGACTATGAGTTATGTGATGATACATCGTCTCACCCACGCTGCAAGAACTGTCCTATTCCTTGTCGGGATATAGAAAATCTCTTCTAAATGGATCTACTAAGCTATGCCTGAAAGTAATAATGAGTTATATAAAAAGTATGATCATTTACTAATGTTGGCATGCATGGTTTATGAGATTTTGAGTTGTCTGAACTTATTCTCATATCGGTGCTCAATACTACTCCCAGTAATACATATATATAATCATGATCAACTGTATAATACATACTTTTTCTCTATTTTAAAATAATTACTCAAACTATCCTCTTAAAAGTGGTAACTGCTCTGAAATATCTCTGAACTCATGAACTCATTAAGAAATCAAAGTTTTTCTCTTCTTATAATAGTACTCTTTTTCTTCATGCAAAAATTAAACATTTGGGAACTACCTAGTTCCCATATACTCTCTATCAAACTCCTCATTATTACTCAAAATAGGGTTCATGCTGAAATATAGACATGAACAAATCAACTCAAGGATCTCAATAAAAATATAGAAAGCTCAATAAATAAAAATGTTACTCCTATAATATGTAATTGAATGGTTAAAATAAAAATTTTATTGAATATACATATACACACACACATACACATAGACAGCAACACACTAAAGTAAAAGGTAAATTTATATGATGACAAAAATAAGATAATAAGCACTAGGTCGATAAAGTTTAACATATTTCCATGAGATGAATATTTCAGAGAAGTGGATGTTGGATATGCAGTCATACAAGATTAGGTAAGATTAAAAAATAACAATCTTCACCATATGGTACTAGTCGCACGTATTGACTTTAAAATGAAAAATCATTTGAGAGATGATATAGGTATCATTTATTTTAAATAAGATTAAGATGTTAAAATATGATTATAATTAAGTTGTGCGTTTAAATTTTAATAATTGACTTCAAGTACATGTTTTTGAATAATAGGATGTTCTATTAAGACCCAAGTACTATATAGTTAAGATTATTTTTACATATAAATGTATAATTTTTTTTTATCTACAAATTAATGAATATAAATTTATTAAATGTGAAATTCATCTAATACTATATATCAACAAAATATTATTATGTTATAAAAATATATGGTGTTGTTGTGATGAAAGAAAATATGAAATAAAAATAATAAACTCAAATTACTATATTACCTTTTTTTTTTCAATTTGTTTGATGTGAAATCACTTGTTAAAGTTTTAAACTTTAAGTTATCAATCATAGTCAATAATTGTGTCAATTTTTCATAAATTAAGATTTATGTTGTTTTGTAACTTGAATATTTTAAATGTAGTTTATGTTATAAATGATAGAACTCAATTTTGTTAGGTTGCGAGTTCGAGTCACCGAAGCAGCAAATGGGTGAGACCTCTCTAGGGAGGGCAAAAAATAATTTAAAAAAATGACAAAAACCATTTCAAAAGAATTAAATAAGATATTGAGACTACACTGAGGGTTGTAAACCCTTTGTAGAGTGTAGTTATTAAAGTTCTAAAATCATTTTTGGGGGGTTACAAATTACCACAAATTGATTTTAAGAACCACCACAAATTGAAAATTCATTTTGTGGCCGACTTAATGGAGGTTATAATAAACAAATATGCTTGTGGAATAGGTAATTGTGACAGTTTCTAAAACCGCCTCAATTAATTTTCCGGCGTACAGATCAAAATGTCAAATTGAAGATAGTCGAGGAAGTCGGGCAAATAGAGGCCAATTTATTAATTTATTTTTTATCGCATTGTATCTATTTGGGGGGCTTAAGCCCGTCGTCGCTTTTCCAATTCTTATTGTTTAGAACTTAGGACAGGTACGAAAGGTCGAAATGGGTCAAAACACCAAAACAGGCGGGTCCGAATTTCGGTCCAGGCGCGGTTTGGACCCAACCTTCCCTCTCTCTCTCTCTTTCCTTACTTCCTCGTATATTTATTTGTTGTTTGACTGACGCTAGTTTTAAGGTTAGAGATTCGTAAATCCTCGTAAGGCGCCACTATGTTTTAACGGTTTAAATTAATTTGATCAATCTTAAAAGACTTAAAAAGAAATAAGTAAATTTCGAGGTTTAAATAATATAGACCAATATCATTTTTAAATTAAACACTAAAATAGATTTTCAATTCAAAATAAAGTTAAGCATATCTATCCAAATTCAATTATTGTCGGATAATTGCAATGAAGCGGATGTTTTAGGTGCTTAAAACCTTCCTAAAACATGAATTTAAATCCCCCAACCCCTTTGCGTTTTCAAATAATTTTTCTATGTTAAGTTATTTGAAAACAATAGTTTTCTTAATTTTCCTTAAAAATTAAGTGGTGACTCTTTAAAGTTGAGAACTCTTCAAAATAAAATATTTTCCCTTTTTCGGTAAAACAGAAATGGGACGATTTTCGGCAAATAAGTTGTTCATCCTAGAATGGTAAGGTTTGGTTTTTGAAATTCGAAAGTAGTCCTTAAAACAAACATTATTTGGCTATTTGTGATAAATTATTTACTTGTTTAGTTTACTTAGTTTTAAATTGTTTCATTTCCATGGCATTCTTCCGCTAAACGGAAAATAGTATGTATGCAGTAGGAAATTGAAAGTTACGTGGCTTTCTACAAATTTCTTCAGAAATACACAAAAAATCATTTGGAAGTATCAAACAAATAGTTAGAATGCGGTCATCGGGTGTTGTTTGGTAGCTTCACCCCGATGTTTGTCCGACTCGGGTAACCGTCAACTTGAAACATATTTTAGTAAGCCTAGGTTAGAGCTAAACCAAAACCAAAAATTAAGTATTAACCTAAGACGTCTTAATGCCCAAGGTGTATTAAGTCCATTTAGTAGAAAACTGCCAAAATCGTGTCTAAGGTCCTCAACCTGATGATACATTATCTTATGTGACATTTGAATGATGTACGTGTGAAAACCAATTTGGGGTGGGATATACTAATCAACTTCTATTTTGTAGATATGGATCGTTTTCCGAAGTTTGATATGGTCATAGCGGCGCCACCTCAAGTAACATTGTGGTATGACAATCTCGACGGGGATCACAGAAGAACCCTTAACAAATACGTGGGTGCATTAACAGAACTGATCAACATGAACGGTTGGCCAGAACTGGTAGAGGTTCTTACGGGGTATTGGGACAGCCAAAGAATGGTGTTTCGATTCGGAACTGCCTAAATTACCCCGACTTCAGAGGAAATAAGAGACTGCATAGACACGGTAGGTACTGGGATAGAAAGGATAGCGAGAAAACAAGAAGACATCTTCATCCCTAATAAGACTTTCATAGAGGATATTGCAGACTGGTTCGGGTTGGTAAAAGAGTTTGCCTATTGTTGCTAAGAATTCCATGTAGCATTCAGAGATCCTTATATCCGATTTGGAAATGCAAGCTTCTATGCCACTTACAACCGAGAGTTCAAGATCTCCTACAGAGAATGGAATGAAATTCGTCCATTAGCATTTGTTGTAGCGATATTGGGAATAATGGCATTCCAACATAGTCCAAGTCTGAGTATCAATACCCGAGTTATAACACTCGCGCATACCTTGTTCAAAGGGTATGAAAACCAAGGGACAACAAAATACTACCCTATAGCTCCGGTCATCGTGTCTGACATGTATCGAGCCATGGGAAAGTGTAAAGAGGGACATCGATACTTCCAAGGATGTAACCTACTCCTTCAGCGGTGGATCCTCAGCCATTTAGCAAAGGGTGCTGGGACTCGAGAGCTGCATATTCTCGACAACAAGAATACCCTTAAGGATTTAAATGACCTATTGTACTGGGCAAATATGAACAATCAGAGAACAAAGGGGAGATGGGCTCAAATATTCTCTGAATTAAGAGAAGAAGACCTCCAATGGATGCTAGACAATTTTATCTCCAAAGAAGTCATCGTGGAGAGCCACAAACAGGTTGTGCTTCCTCTACCAGGTATTCTGGGAATTCGCCCTTATGCACCATTTTGAGTCTTATGACAGTTTGGGAGGAAATAAAATGTACCCAAAGAAGCATACTATGGTGCTTATGCATACGATATTGGGGATGATAGAGTGCACGATGCGACTGAAATGTTGGAAAGACGCCAAGCGTATGGATAAAGACACCATCGCCCCTGACCGATTCAATGCTCTAGGTATGACAAGGGTTACAAAGAATGGCTGAAGAAGGACATACAAAACGTCTCCTTTCAAACCCCGCGTAGCTTTTACAACATAACGGACAGAGAAGCCAAAGCAGTGGCCGAGCTACAAGAGGTAAAAGAAGAGGCCAAAGAGGTGTACTCTAAGTTTGTCGAGAACCAAGATACTCTTGAGAGGATGACTCAAGAGCTGGAAAGATTGAGGCATGGTTATGATGATTTCGATAATTGGATCAAGAAAAAAATCGAGAGGATGCGATACGAAAGTTTGGAAGTCAAAGGACGCCTGAGTGAAGGTTTCTTGCTGATGCTGAGATATATGTTTTAGCAATACAAGACTCAGAGGAACGACGATGGAGAAGGATCATCTGGAGCGACATAGTGGACCTCACCCATGCATGAGTTTTTATATGTATTTACATTATTTTTAGCCCCTGCGTGGGTCTGCCTTTATTGCACTTTCAAATGGCCCCTACGTGGGTTTGTCTTTAATATTTGTTTCCCCTTTGTGAACATTATTATTCACTAGTAAAATTTATTTTTGGGGGAATTATTCATTTGGTTTAAATTCACACGTACATCATTCAAATGCGCTAGGCCTATCCTTGGAACAAAAGGGTCCCCCGGTATGTTTTACGACGCGATATATGTGTGTTTTACTGCTTATGTGCAATGCTGCTATGAATGAGGATACCGTAAATCTACTCCTGTCCAAAATTTCCAAAGAGAATATACAGAAGCTACCGTTACAAAATTTTTGACCAAAATTTTTGAGTCTCAAGTTTCTCACTCAAAAGACACCTCCTATACCATAAATCCTAAAACACTGTTGTACCGTCTTAGGAAAGGAAAATTATTGCTATGGAAAAGGGTAAAAACATCCAGATGGAACTCATTGAAGCAGAACTACAGAGAAAGATGTAACGGATCACTCCGGAAATTCAAGAAGCCAAGGAAGAACGGCTCAGAGTCGACATGGACACCGTAATTTACAAAGCCGTAGCTGTGACGTTGGATGAGGATTTGGCATCACAAATGAAAAGAAATAAAGATGTTGAGATGGAGACAGAGGGATTGAGAGAGAAGTTGGACATGCTTCGATTGAAAATGCAAGAAAGACAAGCCTTCCATAGCAACCCGATAGGCGAAAAATTCCACGCATATGAGCAAGGACCAGCCAATAGTGGTCCCGACAACGCTCACCCTGAAGTGACTGAGGAGGACGACGACAAGAAAATGGTCTACAAGCCTCCATTCCTAGGTCGTTTGAAAGGAGGAAACTAATGGTGCAACAAGAAGGGAAATGACTAACGTGTCGTCATCATCTCATCTTTAAAAGCTTTGTTGTTGCCTTTTAACTTCCTTGTAATCGTAATGAACGAATGAATCAAATGTTTTATCTTGTACCCAAACTATGTTGGGCCTGAATTCTCCTTGTGAGATACGTAGGTAGCCTTCCCAGGCTCGGCCCCTATCTTTAAAAATTTTCATTCTCCCCTTTATGTTACGAGAATATACGAAGATCAGATCAACAGAGGTCAAAAAGCATCTGCAAGAAGACCGTAGCTCAACGTGATTTAGCCTTCCTGAGACAGCGTCGAAACTAAAACAAGCAAACTCCTGCTTGTTAAAAAAATGTGTTTTCGTCCTCCCTCGTGGGTTAAAGATGTTCTCAAACAAAGCAACTTGTGTGTTTATCTTCTCTCTATGTGATATTATGCATTTTGTACTCAAATATGCATTGATAAATTTGCCTTTTAGTTGTTTTCCTTCTCAGGTACCTTGAAATTGATCTGTATCGATCAAAAGCTGGCAGATCATCCTTACTTCACCAGATCGAAAGGTCCCGCAGATTTCTTCCCTAGACAAAGTGAGTTATGGAGGATAATAATGAAGAAGTGTCTTACTGATGTTATGGTGGCTCAACCCACTGTAGCAGAACTGAATGAGTTGATTTTGCAGCTGATGCAGCAAATTGCCGAGATGAGGCTGGAAATGCAACGGAGGCAGGATTTTCCTCCACTAGGATTTGCTGCTAACGCCGCTGATGGGAGTCCTCCAATCTACTTCCCTACCTCAAACATGGATCCAACTCAGAATCAACCATCTACGCTTATTCAGAATCCATCGGTTATAGATCTTACTACCCAAAATCCCTGATATGCTTCGGCATCCTACCAAAATCCATCTCCTCTTCAAAACAACCATCCCCAACTGCCACCCCATCCTCAAAATACCTACAACCAAACCTATCCACCGCCACAAAATCAAAATCAAAATCAAAACCAAAATGCTTTCAATCCCTAAACACCTCATCACAATTTAAATCAAAACACCAATCCTCAGGCCTACCCAAAGAATTACCAAGCCATTTCCAAGTTCCCGTCCCTGCCGAGCACGATGTACATGGTTTTGAGTTGGACCATTACGAGGAACAAGAAAAAGAATGGAGGGCAAATGAAGATGCGAGGGTAGATATAAAGGAGGAATTCAAGAAGGACATGAAGGAGCTACAATTCATCCTTGACATCACTGGACTTAGTTACGAGGACTTGTGTATCCACCCAAATTCGGACCTTCCAGAAGGTTTCAAGATTCCGAAGTTTGACACCTTCGGAGAAGCGTGCAACCCTATGGCTCATTTGAGAGCCTATTGTGACTAGCCCGTGGGAGTTGGAAGTGAAGAATCTTTAATGATGTGTTCGTTTGGGAAGTCGGTGACATGCAAGGGTTGAGTACTGATGTCGTATCTCATAAGCTGCCGATTAACCCAGGGTTCGATCCAGTGAAGCAAAAAACTCAAAAATTCAAGTCTGAACTGATTTTGAAGATTAAGGAAGTGATCACCAAGAAAACAGAGTCCCGATTGGTGGAAGTGACACAATATCCAACTTGGCTGGCGAAGGTTGTTCTGGTCGCCAAGAAAGACAGGAAAATCAGGATTTGTGTTGACTATAGAGATCTCAACAAATCTATCCCGAAGGATAATTTTCCGTTGCCAAATATTCATAGTTTGATTGACAACAATGCTAGGCACGAGATGCAGTCGTTTGTGGACTATTACGCAGGCTATCGCCAAATTTTGATGGATGAAGAAGACGCGAAAGAGACGGCTTTCATTACACCTTGTGTTGTATATCCGTACAGGGTTATGCCGTTCGGCCTCAAGAATGCTGGTGCTACCTACATGAGAGCTATGCCGACCATTTTTCACGACATGATGTATGAGGAGATTGAAGTGTACGTGGATGACGTCATAATCAAATCCCGTGAGAGATCGGATCACTTGACACATCTAAGGAAATTCTTTGAGCGTTTGCATCGTTACAACTTGAAGTTAAATCCCGCCAAATGTGCTTTTGGAGTTCCATCCAGGAAGTTGTTGGGATTTATAGTTAGCAGAAGTGGTATTGAGCTCGACCCCTCTAAGATTAAAGCAATTCAAGAGTTACCTCTGCCAAGGACGAGAAAGAGGTGATGAGTTTCTTAGGGAGGTTAAATTACATCAGTCGATTTATAGCTTAATCGACTGTGGTGTGTGAGCCTATTTTCAAGCCGCTGAAGAAAGAAACCCAACAAAGTGGACTGAAGAGTGTCAGACCTCTTTTGATGCCATCAAGAACTATCTGTCCAATCCGCCAGTATTAGTTCCTCCGCGAGAAGGGAGTCATTTGTTACTGTAATTGTCTGTCTCAGATAGTGCATTCGGATGCCTACTTGGTCAACACGACGAGACAGGAAAGAAGGAAAGGGCTATCTATTATATAAACAAGAAGTTTACTCCATACGTGTCTCATTACACTTTGTTGGAAAGAACGTGTTGTGCATAGACATGGCTTGCCCAAAAGTTGAGACACTATTTATCTTCATATACTACATATCCCATTTCCAGAATGGATCCATTGAAGTATATTTAACAGAAAGCGATGCCGATCGGAAAATTAGCTAAATGGAAAATGTTGTTGAGTGAGTTCGATATCGTGTATGTGACTCAAAAGACAATAAAGGCACAAGCTTTGACTGATCATGTTGCAGAAAATCCAGTTGTGAAGAGTACAAACCATTTAAGACTTTTTTTCACGATGAAAAAGTTTCGTTTGTGGGTAAAGACATTTCTAAAGCGTATCCAGGTTGGAGATTATTCTTTGATGGGGCGGCAAATCATCAAGGTAAAGGTATTGGAGCAGTCTTAGTGTGAGAATCTGGTCAGTACTACCCCATGGCGGCTAAGCTTCTATTTAATTGCACGAACAAGATGGACGAATACGAAGCTTGTATTCTTGTTTTGAAAATGGCCATCGACATGAATGTCTATGAGTTGTTGGTTATTGGGGGATTCAGACCTTTTAATTCATCAAGTTCAAGGAGAGTGGGCTGTAAAGAATCCAAAGATTATACCTTACGTAAAGTACCTGCAGAAGTTGTGCAAAAGATTTGTTTGATCGAGTTCAGACATACTCCTAGAATACAAAATGAATTGGACGATGCTCTCGCCACCATCGCTTCGACGATTAAGCATCCGGATACAGATTATATCGATCCATTGGATAAAGAGCTGAAAGAACATCCAGTCCATTGTTCTCATGTTGAAGCAGAACCAGACGGTTTGCCTTGGTTTTTTGATATAAAGAAGTATTTGGAGTCTGGAACTTATCCCGAAGATGCTACGTCCAATCAGAAGAAGTCGGTACGGCGTATGACTCTCAATTTCTTTCTAAGTGGAGAAGTCTTTTATAGGAGGACTCCAGACTTGGGTCTTCAAGATGCATTGATGCCGTCGAAGCTGCGAGGCCTTTTAAACAGATACATGCCGGAGTTTGTGGCACGCATATGAATGGTCTCACTTTGGCAAGAAAGATTCTTCAAGCCGGTTACTTCTGGATAACCCTGGAGAATGATTGTTGCAAGTTTGTGCAAAAATGCCACAAATGTCAAGTGCATGGTGATTTGATCAGAGTGCTACCTCACGAACTTAATGCTACGAGTTCACCTTGGCCATTCATAGCTTGGGGAATCGATGTCATCGGTCTTAACACTTCTAATGGACACATATTTATTTTGGTTGCCATTGATTTATTCACCAAGTGGGTTGAAGCAGCTTCATAAAAGTCGGTAACCAAAAAAGTGGTGGCTGATTTTGTTCGTAGCAATCTGATATGTAGATTTGGAGTGACAAAATCCGTCATTACTGATAATGGGGCAAATCTCAATAGTCACTTGATGAGAGAGATATGTGAGCAATTTAAGATTACTCATCAGAATTCAACTGCTTATTGCCCCAAATGAATGGAGCTATAGAAGCTGCCAATAAGAATATCAAGAAGATTTTGAAGAAAATGATTGACTAGCATCGTGGTCCGCATGAGATGTTACCATATGCTTTATTGGGATACCACACGACTGTCAGAATATCAATTGGAGCCGTTCCATATTTTCTAGTATATGGAACAGAAGCAGTCATACCTGCTGAAGTTAAAATACCGTCTTTGAGAATCATCTAAGAAGCTGAGTTAAGTAATGCTGAATGGATCAGCAAGCGGATTGATCAATTAACTTTGATTGATGAGAAGAGAATGGTTGCCGTTCCTTTTACAAGAGAGTAAGAACTAGAAATTTTGAAGTTGTCCAGTTGGTCCTTAAGCGTATTTTTCCTCATCATGAAGAGTACAAAGGAAAGTTCGCACCAAACTGGCAAGGTCCTTACATGGTTCGTAAAGTATTATCTGGAGGTGCTTTGGTCTTGGCGGAGATGGATGGTACCGTGTGTCCTAAACCTATCAACTCAGACGCTATCAGGAGATACTACGTGTGAAGCTGCGGTTTGCATTTCCGTTATTTACTTGTAATCATTCTATTTTCTTGTATTTGTTTTACATAAATTCTTATCCCTCCTGTAATGAACTACGTCTGACCTGAATTCTAAAGAATGAGATACGTAGGCGGCCTATGTCGGCCTCGGTCACCCATTTACCCCTTTTTATATTTCATTGTAATGAACTACGTCTGACCTGAATTCTCAAGAATCAGATACGTAGGCAGCCTATGTCGCCCTCAGTCACCCCATCTACCCCTTTTTAAATTTCCTTGTAATGAATTACGTCTAACCTGAATTCCCAAGAATAAGATATGTAGGCGGCCTATGTCTGCCTTGATCACCCCACTTACCCCTTTTTATATTTCCTTGTATTTGAACTACGTTTGACCTGAATTCTCAAGAATGAGATACGTAGGCGGCTTGTGTCGGTCTCGGTCGGTTTCTTTGTAATTTTTTTATTTTGTCTACCTTTGAATGGGTAACTACGTTTGACCTGATTCTTGCCTCAACAGGAACACTTAGGCGCCACAAGGGTTCGGTCATATCTCCCGTAAGATTTCTATTCCTCTTTACAATAGAAACTGGGACAAAATTTTTGAGAGGGGCTAAAAAATTCTTGAGAAGGAGATTCTTCCTCAGCAAGTTGAGACTGAAGATATTTCAAGATTTGCCGCTAGGACAAAATTTTTGAGAATATCTCAGAAATTCCGCAATCTAGTCAGTTACAGTGGAAACATAAGCAAGACGGTTAACTGGTACAGAAATTTTTAGGATGGCCTCAAAATTTTTGCATGGATTTTATCCGCAAATCCGGAGCGACTTTGAAAACTCCCCGCGAATAATTTGATGGACCTCCAAGCATCATACTTAAAGAATTTTGTTAAGCCTGATATGACATGACTTCGCAGAGACATTTTTTAGATACTATTTTCTCAAAATTTATTCCTCTTAAATCTTCCTTTTATATTCCATTTGTTTTGGCATAAAATATTTTGTCTTATCTATCAAGATTCGGGAGATCGGGGAATCAACCGAAGATAGCAAGATAAGGAGCAAATAACTAAAGAAATCGACACAGATCAGTTCGTTTTTAAAACTAATATTTTTTCTTTGGAAGCAGGTTTATAGTTTTGCTAAGAAATCAGAAAATTCTTCCAATGGATGAATATGGAGAAATCCAAAGAGGAGAAAACTATTCCAAAATCAATAGTTTTCCTAGAAGCAAGAAGCATTTTATATCTCTTATGTTGGAGACTTGGGAATATGAATTGTTTATTTCAATCAAATTTTCAACAACATGAAATTTATAAAGAATGTCCGGCTAGATTTGAAGGAGAATCAAGCAAAAATCTCAAGAGAGAGTTTACGGTTTCATAAAGGACGTCATTGGCATCATAATGTCATATATGATACTATGCATTACCCGGAGGGGTCAATTATTTTATTATCGATCAAGCTGATATACTATTTGGAAGTCGTTTTACCGTTATCATCGCTAGAGATGATATGATATTCATGCATCATGGAGATTCATGCATTGCGAGTCAATATTCATGCATCACGGAAAATCATGCATTGCGGGAGATCATGCATTGCGAGTCAATACTCATGCATTGCGGAAGACCATGCATCGCGAGTCAATATTCATGCACCGAGAGAAGATATTTATGCCTCGCCGAGAGCTGTGCTTCATGAGAAGATTTCATGCGTCGCAGTAAATTTTGCATCGCGAGAAGGTTTCATACCTAGCAGAAAATTATGCGTCATGAGAAGATTTCATACCTCGCAGAAAATTATGCATCATGAGAAGATTTCATACCTCACTGAAATTATGTGTCGCGAGAAGATTTCATACCTCACAGAAAATTATGCATCGTGAGAAGATTTCATACCTCACAGAAATTATGCATCGCAATAAGATTTAATACCTGGCAGAAATTAATGCATCACGGGAAGATATTCATGTCCTGTAAGAAATCATGCACTGCCAGAGAAGTAATTATGCATCCGAAGAGGGATATTTATCCGTTGGCATCAACTAAATTCTTTTATTTTGATTAAGGTAAACAACATGAGAGTACATCGACATCAAGAGAAGCGGCAACACTGCATCATCTTTCATTTATGTTGACATCAGCATGAAGAGTACATTGACATCAAAAGAAATACTAGTATCGCATCCACATTTATTTATTTCGACCTCAAGTGAAGATTATATTGGAGATTATATTGCGAACACCAGACATAAGCTATATTTGCTTTATGTTAGACCGATCGAGTTGACGTTAAATGTCGAGGGGAACAATTGAGTATGGTAAACGACACTGTCTCCCATCCTAATTGCATTTTTAAGCTGACGGGTTTTTATGTCAGTCTTTGTCGAAAGCATCCAAAAGGATGAATTCTCCAAAAATCATAGGTGCGGACGACGTCAAAAGGGACGCAGAACAACGTGGAACTTTTTCTTAGCAACGAACTAGGACACACAAAGAGGAATATCAAACTCTTAGGATGCAGCGGAGGAGCGAATTCCACCACAATCAAACCACACCCCTATCATAAGGCATGTGGGTTTTTCTTTGGTTTTCGCTAGTTTCAGTCTCCATTTGGAAGTTTTGATCTACCGGAAACAAGTTGCCAATCCAAGTGACAGTGCTCCAATAGTTTGGAAATTATGTCCGTGTAAGTTCTTACCTATGGATGTGAGCGCACCACATTCATGGCTAAGAGGCTACAAGCCTCCTTTTCGTACTCGTTTCATTTGTCACTTATCCAAAACCAAAGGTTATCTATCATAATAGATTTTTCTTTTCAACCGATCGAGTCGAACTACAAACAACCTGATCCCTAAGTTTAAGGATATGTAGACGGGCTCAATATTAAAATTCGGCCGTATCCCAACATTCGTTATTAAATCCTATTCGTGAGCTTTTCGATCCTTTCATAATTTAGTATCGGTATGAATTTTGAATTCCTTCATAATCGTGCGTTAAATCAAGCGTATCGAACTACAAGTGACCTGGATTCTCATATAGCTTGAGATATGTAAGAAACCCATTTTCAAGGCTCAGCCATAATTATTAAGGTCCATACTAAATCATTTGCCTGAGATTCATATGTGGTCGGTCAAAATTGGCTTGGTCAATTTCATTTTCCATGATTTTCTTGCATCAATCCAAGTAAAATGAGGGTTAATTTTTGACACCCAAATGTTGACCCTCCACGGTAGAAATTAATTCTGGAGCTTCTTAAATTTTCAAACAATATGAAATAATTGGTTTTATAAACTTTGAAAAATATATATATATAAAGTTTGCGTTATTTTCAATAGTTTTGCCATTTTTTTATATAATTTTTAGAT